AATTGCTTGGTTGTGATGTTATATTAGACATTTGCTTCATCATAAAGTTCCTCTTTCTAATTAGTAGTATCCCATATCCCATATCCATGTTGTTGCCCATTGATTTTAGCATATACTACATAAACTTTTTGCATGTCTTTATTACTGTAATGGTTTCCTATTAATGATATTTTAAAAGACGATTCTGTAATTAATTTTACAATTGTTAGAATCTGCAAATGTCTCTATTCTGTTACTTAAGGCCTTATGTTATAATCCACCACCACTATTACTTGTGTCATAAATAAAAAACTTGAGATGAACCCTTCAGTCCCTGGAACTGTATTCTGACTTACACAGGGTTTACATGAATGTCCATTTGTATATTTAACAAGGTAAAAAAAATAACCCAAGAGAGCCAACTTTGAAAATAACTTGATTAGAAATGGAAAGGTTGATAATAGTACATTTTAAAGCTCTCTTACTGTCTATGTCTTAAGTATCCATTTTCTTTGCTTGTAAGTAGGACGGCAAGGGTTAATAAAAACTGCAATGTTCCTAAGTATTACTTTCCCCCCCCTCAATTTTTATTTTCTGATGTTTATGGGTGTTTTGCCTATCTGTGTGCCTGTGCACCTGTGTGTATGACTAGTGCCAAGGAGGTCAGAAGAGCATGTCAGGTCTTTGGAACTGGTTATGATCTGCCATAGGGCTACTAGGAATTAAACTCAGGTCCTCTCTGAAAGAACAGGCAGTGTTCCTAACTACTGAGCCATCTCTCCAGCCCTGGATTACTTATTTTTCATAATTAGATGACTATTCATTTTAATGTATGTGTGTTACCTACATGACTCATTTTCAACTCTCACATTGCTTTGTTTCTTTCTTTCTCCCTGATGATTCCCTTCTCCTCACTAGTAGTTCCCCTGCAACTTACCCCCACCACACACACACACACACCATGTTGATTTTTATGTTTATATCCGTCATGAGAAAACCTGTGGTTTCAGTTTGATTTTTTTTTTCCTAGTCAGGGTTTCTCTGTGGCTTTGGAGGTTGTCCAGTCTGGCCTTGAACTCACAGAGGTCTGCCTGCCTCTGCCACCTGGGTGCTGGGATTAAAGGTGTGCGCCACCACCGCCCGTCTTGAATTTTTTAATAGCTAAATAACAGTCCAGCATGTGTGTGTAATTCATTTTCTTTATTCATCTGTTGATGGACATCTGGACTAAGTTCATGTCTTGGCAATTGTTACAAGTGCTGCTATAAAAACAGGAGTGCAGATCTGTCTGTGGTATCCTCATTTTGACTTTTAAATAATTTATATTATTTTTCATGTGTGTAGGTATGTGCATCTGCATGTAGTTTGATGCATGTGAGTACAGGTGTGTGCAGAACCCAGAGACATCCAGTGTCCTGGAGCAGGAGTTACAGATGGTTGCGATCTATCCGACATGTGAGCTGAGAGAGCTGAACTTCAGCCTTCTGAAAGGGTAGCAAGTGCTTTTAACTACTGAGCCATTTCTCTCCCACTTCTGACCTTGATTTTTTTTTTGAGGGGGGTTATATATTTAGTAATGGAATAGCTATACCATATGACATTTCTGTTTTTAGTTTTTTCTTTTTTTAAGAGCCTCTGTAGTGATTTCTATTGTGGCTACACCATTCCCACAAGTGGTGTGTGAGGATTTGTCCTCCCTCAGTATCCTTGCCAGCTCCGTTTCTTGATGATAGCCACTCTGACTGAAGGAGACGGAGTTTCCCTCATGGTAAAGGATGTTGAACAGTGTTCATGTGTTCATTGCTATGTCTACTATTGAGAACTGTCTCCTCACTGTATTTGCTCATTCTTTGAATGATTTGTTCTTTTTTGGGGGTGGGGGCGGATTCTAGTTATTAGTTATTAGTCCTATAGATGTATATAGTTGACAAAGCTTTTCTCTCATTCTGTAGGCTGTTGTTACATTTTTCCGTTGCTATACAGAAGCTTTTTTACATTATATAATCCTTTTTGTTAATTCTTGTTATTTCCTGGGCTATTGGAGTATTTTTCAGAATGTTCTTGTCTATTCCTGTACCTTGATGTGTTTTCCCTGTAGCATTTGAGAGTTTCCTGTCTTGCATTATGGTCTTTGATCCATTTTGAATTGAGTTTTGTACAGGATGAAAGATAGGGATCTAATTTTACTATTCTACATGCGGATATCCAGTTTTCCCACACTGTTTGCTCATAGTGCTCTTTCTCTAATGTGTGCTTTTGGTGCACTAATTTAAAACGATTGGCTCTAGCAGTGTTGATTTCTGGAGTTTATGTATTCCATTGGTCCTGCTGTCTGGTTTTGTGCCACTGTCGTGTAGTTTTGTTGCCACGACTCTAGTAAATAAACGAGGTGCTGATACTTCTAGCATTGTTATATTTGCTTGGGATTGCTTTGACTTACTTAAGATTGGGGTATGTGAGTGTGTGCTGATGCTCAAGTGTGTGCACGTGTATATGCGTGCATGGTTGCATGAATTCTAGTATTGTTTTTTCTAGTTCTGTGAAAATGTCATTGGAATTTTGATGAGGACTGACTTTTTTTTCCTTGCTGGTTTGAAAGCAAATGCCTCTAAATTAAACCAGATTTAATTTATTTAGAGAAAGGAAAACATCCCATTAAGTAGTGGTGTATTGTATAATAACTTGTTTTTAAATTTGTCTGCTACAATTTGTGGATGTGGCTCCTTAGAATAAGAACAACGAATTAATACATTCTATAGGCCTTCTCTTCTCAAATAACTTTAAACTTTTCTTTGTATTTGGTAAATTCTGAGTTGAATTTTTGTTGTTTGCTTTTTCTTTTGAGGAGAGCATGTTAATCCTAAGTACATATGGCCACATAACAGTCTCTTTATTAAAGTAGTTTTTCAGATATAAATAGATTTCTAACTTAGGATTAGGTTTAACATTTAGTAAGCATCATGTTAAGGAAAACTCATTTGTATAATCTTAGATATTAACCCCCCTACTTTGCTGTTTGTGTTGATATATTACTGTAATATCAAAAGGCGAATTGCAAATAGCAAATAAAAGTCTCTTTAAACTTGTGTTGAAAGCTGAAAACTTGTGTGTTAACGTTGCTTATTAAATCTATGTGTAAGTAAGCATCAGTGTATAAATATTGGCTCTGATTTTACTCAAATCTATGGACAGTTACAAGCTGAGGTAGCTGCGACCAAGTAAAGTGTAAGCTCTTCGTGCTTCCTGTCCTTCTGTGTATCCAGGGTTAGTACGCTAAGGAGTGCCTTGATGGATGTAAGTGTGACACACAAAGGAAAAGCACATAGCTACTCAGATAAAATATTTATGTCTTTGTCAATGCTGCTTCCTTGGTAATTTTCTCTTAGGAACAGAATTAATAGTTGAGTTTAGTTAGAAAAAGAGGGAATGAAAGTCAAGATAGAGCAAAGAAATGGAAGATGAGTTTAGTAAATGCTATAGCTAGGTCAAGTTTTTAGTCATAAAAACATAATTTAGTACATGCAAAAATTTTCTGAAGGGGAAAAAGTTTGGTTACTGTTGTTTGAGAAAATGTGGGAAAATAGGAGAAAGCCTAAATGCTATAAAGATAAGTTTTTATTTTTGAATTTAATGACACAGGTTGTAGATTCCTTGTAATCTGGTGGACCTAGAGGAAGGTGGAATTATATGCAGGGGATTGTGTGTTAGATGTCAACCTGGGCTATGTTAGTGAATGAGACAATTTAAAAAATGCACACACTACCCATACCAAACCAGAGAAAACATGTATATAGCGTTGAAATTTTACCAGGCAATTTAATAAGGCACACCAGTATTTTGATATCCATGCTCTCAAAATGTGTGATTTATGAAATTGCAGTCATCTTGACTCAGAAATTAGTCATTGTAAGGAATGTCAGCAGATTAACATTGGTCTGAAGGGGTATATATGTAGTAGAAACTAAACAAGAAAAAATTAAATTGATTGTTGCTGTTTAAATGAACAGTTGTGGAGAGAGGGAATGGTAGAGACGTGCCAAAGTGCCACCAACAACTGTCCACAATGTGTTGTTTGCTAAGGCATTAGTGATAGTCTATAGTCTTCATACCATCATCCGTTACAGAGTGTCTTGTGTGGGTTTACATTTTGAAAGAAACTTTAGCAAATTGAAGTGTTGTTGAATAAGTGGAAGGGCATGAAAGCGTATTGGGTAGTTTACAGGGTACTTAGATATCATAGAACTTTGAGTATGATGCTGCTAAGTGGCAGTGAGTGGCTGATGTTTTTAGGAGTGAGAGTTTAGCTCAGAAGACAAGTTTAATGCTTAGAACTCCAGAGATTTTTAAAAAAACAAACTGCCTTTCTTAATCATAGGAAGATAAATCACCTTTTTAGGAGTTTGTACCACCGCCTTTTGTATTGTTATGTACTGTTTTCTTCTTCCCTGGAATGCTGCTTTATTTAGGGTTCATTTAGTTCTATTAGTCTCTTTTCCTTTTTAGAACGTTAACTGCTAAATTTGAATGCCTCACTCAGACTAAACTTGGTATGTGTTGTTTGTTGAGCATTTTGAGTGTATTAAAGGTAGTAAAAATATCCAATAAAGTGGTGTCCAGTTTAAGCCTTAAATGAGGCAGATTATTTATGAGGAATAATAGAGTTTTTGGTATTTTGTCTCATGTGTTCTTATGAAAATTAACTAAAGCTACCATTTAAAATGATTGACCTCATTTTTAAACATGAATATTTTAGGTAAACTAAAATCTATATGATTATGGCTAAGAGTCTCTGTTCTGAAGCTAGTTTTAATAAGATGTGTAATTTGTTTGGTGTAGATTTGATTTATGTTAGAAATGAAGGCTGTCATTTTGTAAATAGGCTTCATGCAGAGAATGACAGGATAGATCAGCAGTTGTTCACTGAAGTGTTAAAACATTTTATCAGTGAAGCAACCCCCACCCCCTTCCTGGATTAGCAAGAATATTTTTTGTCTAACTTTGAACCGTTTTACTTTTAACAGAAATTAGCAGAGTGCGGAAAGACATGTACAACGACACATTAAATGGCAGTACAGAGAAAAGGAGTGCAGAATTGCCGGACGCTGTGGGACCTGTTGTGCAGTTGCAAGAGAAACTCTATGTGCCTGTAAAAGAATACCCGGATGTAAGTATATTTGTTGTTTTGTCATTTTTCTGCCTCATACAATATGCAATGAGATAACTTTTATCAGCTGCTTTAAAAGAGTTATGTGTGAAATGGGAATAATTTTATGTGGGCAATTAAAATTTTTTCTCTTTAAAGTATATTTCCATTTGGTTTTTGCCATGTCACTTTGGGAACTATTCATGATGAAGACATGGAATTTCAGACTGAGGTCAAGAATTCTGGGAAAACTTTTGTCTTGAGTGTTAAGATCAAGTGCAACTCTTGATATGGTGGTCTTCAGTCTGACCACAGACAGTCCACATACAGCTTGGATCATGTCATTCCTTCTGTAAAATGAGAGTACTGGACTTACTGGTTGCTTCCAAGTCTCTAAAGTTTCTGTGAAAAGGTCTCTTTCCAATCTGATTCCTCCTTTCTCCCCAGTCTGACTTAGTCAGTTGCTCAACCAGTCTCTAGTATTATTTTAGATACAGTCTTCTTTACCAGCTGATTTTGAAGTACCTCCAGGCTCTTCCTTTGTTATAAAACCCTATGTGATACAATTGATTCAGTTTCTCTCTTCTGTCCTCATTTTAAGTGATTTTCTCATGTGTCTATAGCACAGCGTAATCATGTTGGCCTTCCTTTGACTTTGAAAATAACTCATCTATTTCCAGCTTCATGATCTTTGTGCCATTTATACACTGTTCACTGTGACTGGCTGTTGCTTTTCCTTAAATGTGGCTGAGTTTAAATACTCCTTTAGTTACTGTAAAAGCCACTTGGTTCTGTCCATCTCCACCCCCCCCAACCCCAACAGCCCACGCTCCACCTCAATAGCACTTTAGTTTTCTTACTCCCTAGCACAGCAGGGGTTGGGAGCTGTCAGATGACCCCTTCACAGGGTCACATCAGGTACCCTGCCTGTCAAATATGTATGATTTATAACAGTAGCAGAATTACAGTTATGAAGTAACCATGAAAGTCATTTTATGGTTGGGGGTTCACCACAACATGAGGACCATATTAAAGGGTTGCAACATTAGGAAGGTTGAGAACCACTGCCCTAGCAGACTATATTGTACATAAAGCAAGAACCTTGTCTTTATTAATTCACTGCCTTAATTTTACTAGTCACTGTGTAATACTAATGTATAATAGCCATCCATTAATTACTGAGTATGTAAAGGAAAAATAATGGCTTTTAGATGTGAGAATACTTATTGGAAAACAAATGAAAGAATAATTCTAATGTTAAAAATAGGTTTTAGATCAATTAGTTGTTACTCAGACAATATTAGTTTATAGATGGAGTATAAATGTCTTAGATGGGATTAATGGGAGGTAGAGTTTTGGTATTTTATAACTTGTGTTTTTTAGTACACCTTTCTTTACTTTATATGTTACTCTGTTTTTGCAAGTAGTTTTGGTTGCAAATACACAAACAGTTCAGAATAATGTTGCCAAAAGAAGGCTTTGTTGGATAATTATAAGGCATTGCAGGAAATTATGTAAGTGAGAACCCAGGATACTTGGGAAAGAACTTCAGTGGCAGGATTTTTGTCTCTGGAGAGCCTTGCTGTCAGATGCTGAAGACATCCAAAGAGTCTCTGGCCTCTTTAGGAATGTGCATATGTAGATGCATGCATACATAGGTTTGTGCACAATAAGAATTACATCTTGTGTAAATATTTTATTTTGCAAGATGTAGAACATCTTTCATGTTTTTCAGGTGGATAGTTTAATTGTATATCATCAATGCAGAGAGAATGCTGATTCATATAAATACATAGTATAAAAGGTAGAAGAATTTAGGGCCATTTGATAAATTGTTAGAAATCCTTTTCCAGTTTCATACCAGAATTCATCAGTTACAAATGCTGTTACAAGTACATTTGTATGTGTGTATAAGGATGTTTTGATTGTATGCACATGTGTGTGTACCCCGTGCTTCTGGAGGCCAAAAGAGGCCATTAGATCCTTTGCGAGTGGAGTTTTAACTGGTTTCAAGTCACTATATAGGTTCTGGCACTTAAAACTGGGTTCTCTGGAAGGGCAGTCAGTGCTTTTAATTTCTGATTGATCATCTCTAGGTACCCTACTTTTTTTCTTTCAAATGAAACTCAAGTAAGCAACTCTAGTAAGCAGTTTCAAAAATCAAACATTCTAAGACAATACAGTGTAAATTAGAGTTGAGTCTTACATGCCAGGAGTGACACTAGGAAGATAATTGTCTTTGTTTTGCTGAGTGAAACCATGATATTTCTATAAGAGCAGAAAACTGTGTTTATACAGTAAAAGCACTGCATTTCCTAACTGTAGTTTTTAATTTTCCCTTAGGTCATTCATGCAGTATTCATTGGCATTGCATGAACTAATGGCATATACATTGCAAAATGTGTATGTTCTGTCTTTAGGACCACAGCTGGGAACATGGCTCATAGGGTATAGTTCTTCCTGCACAAGCACGAGGGCTTGTCTTTGGACTCCCAACCTCCACATAAGCCAGATGATATATATGTGCCCATAACCCAGCACTGTGGCACATGGGTGGCTGCACATGAGGATCCTAGGGACTTGTTGACCATCCAGAGTAGCTGAAAACACAAGTTTCAGGTTCTGTGAAAGATGACCCTATCTCAAAAAAGTAAGGTGGAGAGTGACTGAGGAAGATAACCAGTATCATCCTCTGATCTGAGTACATAGACAGGCACACACAGTTGTACATGTATTCATTTACCTACATATAGCACATACAGAATAAAAATAAAATGATGTTATTGTTTAGTTTTTTCCTTTACCTAAAGTTATGAAATGTTTCAGATTACATAGTAGTCTGTGGTGGTCTTAATTTATTATTAAAATTCGATATTGTAAATGTGTTTGTTTTAGGTACAGGAACTATTATTGGCTTAAAACTTCAAGTAACTCAGACAGAGAAGGCTAACTTTATGATTTATTTTTCGGTTTGAATTTTGCTTTTTTTGTTTGCTTCACTCTGTAGGGGGTGTATTGAGGACCCACCTGTGCCTATTTGGCTGTACTGGATTTCTGAGGACAGTAGTGGATATTATTTCAGTGAGTTTCAGGGTAGTCTGAAAGCAGTAAATTTTCTTTAGATCTGCTTTGTTTTGTTTTGAAGTTTAACAATTTCTAATGTCATAAGCCCCCATAGTCTTTAAAATGCCAGGTGCTTTATTTTGTGAATTATATATCTTAATATTTAAAAATAGCTAATATTCCAAACACTAGTTCAAAGTTAATTTTGGAGAACACTTATGTAAGCAATTGTTTGTTTGTCAGCCTCAGATGAGATGGAGTGCCGCGCCTGCTGTGCAGCCTGTATCTGAGAATGTGGCCAGGGGGTCGGTTTTGATGACACAGAGACCAGTCGGTTGCATTAGGAAAACTTTATGACCCCCAAATCGGCTCAGGAGAACTTCCCAAGAAAACGCTTCCCTCCAGAAAAACTTCTGCCATACATACACGCACACATCTCTCTTTTTCCCTCCTGGCTGGTGGTTAACTCTCTGACACCAGAATCGGGAACAGCAGGGAGCAGAAAGAAGTAGCTAGCCATCAGGAAGATCAAGTCAGGGTGTTTCAGTGAGTGAGCCCTTATCAGGAACTTATGGCTTTGGATTGTTTTCAGTAAACATGTTTTCAGCAAACATTGTCTGGCAGCTGCCTGCTCCCAGGCTGATGGAGGAGTGGGTTTCTGGCCAGGGTCTGTGGTCCCCACAATTTCTCCTTTTTATTTTCTTATGAGGCACTCCTGTCTTAGGTCAAATGGGGTGGCCCCCCATCCCGTCTTTGGGGTACCCGGCTACCTCTGCCTTAGGCGGGGGGGGGCTCTACCCCATAGGTTGCCCATCCTCAGAGAAACCTCAACTTAGAATCATCTGTAATCAGGCTTTATGGCTATCGGGCTTGCCATGGGCTAAGGCACTTTGAACTCAGCATGAATCCAGAATGCCTACTGCCACTGTCACCATTCCTAGGACCCCCACTGACATAGCGCCTCTCTGTCGCCTGCCCATCCCCCCATCTGTTCCATAGCATTCTACCATCAGCCTTTTTTTGTTACAAGGGTGATTTACAGTTACAATTTGACGGTCAAAAATGATAAAGTTTACAATTATTTCAAGATCTACTTAGGAAAGCATTTAGAAAGTGCACTTGTACAGATACATTAGGTATAATCATTGATGTTACACATGTAGCATTATAAAAAATATGAACAAGAGGCTTGTTGCACTATTTATAGAGTACCAATTTGTTCCTGTGGTGATGTAGTTTGTTTATTTAACGTCAGTAGCCTCAGCTGAATATGCGACTTGAGCCAAAGTCTCCTTTTTGTCGCATTAGGACAAATTGCATTTCTCCAGAAAAATACACTGGCATAGGTGCGATTCTAGAAACAGGAACCACCAAGTCTGATATTTCAATTGACCATGTCCTGTTCAAATACTGAAAAGAGGCTTTTGCCACTCATCACAGTCCATACCAATGTTTTAAATGGGTCCTTTTTTTTCCCCAAAGGGAAAAACTGGCAAAATGAATTCTGTTGTTTTAAGGTGTGTCATGGGCAAACTGCTAATCTTCCAGTTTTTTGCTGGCTTCGGGATGAAAACTCACGGGTGCAGGAGGTTGATGTAGCAGGCCTGTTGAGAAACTGGAAATCTCGAACCGACTGTTTTATTTCTTTCTTGGGCTGTAGATTTGATGACATCAAGGGTCAGGAACACCGATTTAGGATATCTCGAACTGGCTTGGGCCGGCTCCCACGGTCTCAGGTCCAGTTTTTTTCTGCTCCATGTATCTCACCAAATGTTGTGACAGCTGCTGAAGCTTTATTCTTTTCCTGTAAGAAAGCACAAATTAGGGTCTTCTCCACTGTCTAGCGTATGGATGTCTCCATTTGACCTGAGTAATAGTTGATCAAGTTCCATTATACCAGAATCTGTCTGAAGTAGATTGCTTACTGGCATTTACATTTTAAAAATTTTTAAGAGGAG